AAATCAGAAAAACGGTATAAACAAATTGGCTGCTGACGAAAATACCTAAACCGATACACGCCACTGGGTGATTATTATTAGTCTAGTGGACCTCTATAATCCCTGAAATTTTGATCTTGTTAGGATACGTATCAGAAAAACGGTATAAACAAATTGGCTGCTGACGAAAATACCGAAAACTAAACCGATCAAGAACACGCCACTGGATGATTATTATTAGTCTAGTGGACCTCTATAATCCCTGAAATTTTGATCTTGTTAGGATACGTAGTTTTCGAGAAAATCGGAAAAACGGTATAAACAAATTGGCTGCTGACGAAAATACCGAAAACTAAATGGATCAAGAACACGCCACTGGGTGATTATTATTAGTCTAGTGGGCCTCTATAATCCCTGAAATTTTGATCTTGTTAGTATCTTAGTATCTTATAAAATCGGAAAAACGATATGATAGTAACCAATTGTTGCTAAAGGTAGTAGTGCTAGTACTATCATAAATGAATTAGTTTTTTATTTTTTTTTAATTTTGGTTACCATTAGTATAATGTATACATATTTTATAAAATTACACTAGGCGTGTTGATTTGATATAATAATTAATCCGATATAAAAATATCGGTAACAATTTATTAACAATGGCTTATACTTCGTTTTAGTGCTATTTAAATAAATTCTCCTGCAAGAAATTGTATGATTATTTATATTAAGTTAATCGCCGACCACTGGCCCTTCGGCTGCTAAGTTCATCATTATTCTGATTGGCTATATAAATATTGTATTAATGTTAATAATATTAACATTAATACAGGGTTAGGGGCCTCAGTGGCATTGTGAGGGCGAGGGGTGGGAGCCACACGGTGTGTGCATTATTTATTTTGCATATTATGTTGCGTGTTATTTATTTCGTTTTTTTGTCAATTTTTCCTTACTAATTCGTGTTTAAAATCAGGGAACTACCCGTAATGCAACGCGAACCAAAATGCAATGCAAATGTAAATATTGTTAATGGAAAAAAACATTTGGGGATAACCTCAGAATATTACTGTCACTTTTTTCTGTTTCATTTTGTAGTTTTTTTGTTTTGTAGAATATATAGTGGAGGAGTTGCTATTAGGTTATGTATATTATATATATTAGGTTATGGGGAGTGGCGCTAGGGTGCCACGCCCTTTCTAATTTGAAGTTGAATAAAACACAAGTTTACTTAATTGGTAATGAGTTGCATAGAGGCCACTAGCTTTTAATTTTAAGAGCCGGGTGGTCGGGGTTCAAAGATATTAATAAAGGGGCGCCACGAGATTATACTCTATGAACTCGGCAATAAAGATGTAACTATTAAGTAGACTTCAACACTAACCTCGAACTGTTGAGTGCAACTATCATGAACTTCAAATATTACTATAATTTGTTAAACTTAAGTGACTCTAACTTAACTATGAGACTAGATAATAATACTACTAAAATAATTAAGCAATTTATTAAAATATTAAAGTTAATATATAAATAAAAGAGGCAGAAAATGTAGATGATTGAAAATGTAAATTAATCCATTAAATCAATGAAAGAAATAACTAAATCTGACGTCAAACCCAGCTAACTTATACCATATACAGTCAGGGTGGTTTATAAATGACAATCCTAAATCTAAACAGTCTTACTCTAATGGATGGCAATCTTGAAACAACTTCGGAAGTTCCTCCGAAGAACTCGGTGTACTTGGCCTATGAGGTGGCTACAGCAGGTACAGCAACTCGATTGTACTGTCACTGGAGCCACAGTGTCAGCAGACGTACAGATGAAAGGCAAGTTGTTGAGGTTTCAAATGGTGAACATAAAAACCCTCAGCTTGAGGGTTTATGATGTCAGGACAACAAGGAGCAGGATGGAATTCTGGATTGTTCTGTGCTACGGTCTGGATCGGTCTTCTTGCTTTCTTGGAACTATTCAGGGGACTTCTTGGGCGTGGAATCGGAATATCGATTAATTTGGCTATTTTAATCCCATTGCGGAAATTGGTCGGCGGTCCATAAAAATCATCAAAATCCAACCACGTCTCTGACCAAATATGTTTCGGAAGCCTTAATCCTTCTCTACGAAGATCTGCTATTCACCAACAGGGAATGCTTCACGAAACGGCAGCCAGTTCTTCACGACGATATTCTGACGGTGGATACACATGAAGTGATGCAAGGATTCGATTTCCTTCACAAAATCAGGTTTCAACCGGAAATCTCCCTCCAGGATATAGATAGAGAACTATATATCTTGACTAGTCCAACTCATAAAAAGGCATAAATAAAAAATGATGTTCTAGAATATTTTCTCCTCAGCCATATTCCATATTCGGTCAATGAACGAACTAAACTCAGAAATTCCACAATTAAAAGAACGAATTGCACACTGCGATCCACATCAAAAATAAACGATTTAACTATGAAATTTTATCTGATAATTATAAAATTTCAATAACCAAAACAAAGGATAAATAAATCCAAAAACATCTGATTTGATCTGACAGTGACAAGTGACAAGTGATGACCAAAGATATAGAGAGATGGACAAAAAGCCTACTGCTGGTCGGCATCAGTGACAATATATGTATAATATCACTTGAGGGGTGTATATCGGGTTTGCATGTCGTAAAATTTAAATAAATATTTAACAATAAAATTATAGTAAACATTATGCAAAACTGTTGCGATGTTTATGAGCTAGCACACAGGGTGGGAAATTGGGGTCCCTAGTGTAAGTACCGCAATTACCGCCATATTGAGCAAAACCCGAGCAAAAAGGAGGCCAACAAATTTGTTTTCGACTTTAAGCAACTGGTCCGGCATAATAAGCCGACAACATTGACAGGCAAGCCGTAAAATAAAATATTTATTAATTGTAATAGAATTACGTTTATTATCTACAGTTTACCTTCATTTTAACGTAATATCAGGTGGTATATTAATATTCAATTTCATAAATTTAATTTTTTAGGCCTATATATGTTAAGAGGTTATAAACGAATGGTTTCCGTACAAGTGTTTTTCATTTGTATTAGCATTTATTTTATGTTACCTTTTAGCGCAAAGTACGCCAACAGAAGTAAGTTAATAGGTAAGAAGAAATAAAGTTGGAATAACATTTAGAATTTTAGTACTTAATTCAGTCGAAACAATTGGAAAAACTTTGTTTGTTGATGAGAACGGGATACCTATACCATAAGTAAACTTTCCCTATTATACCAGTTATGCTGTAGTTAGTTTTGACAAATAAGCATGATTTAACGAAAGTCTTTGGAACTATGAATAAGCTACAAACTTAAATTTGAAGGCCGGCTTTTATACGAGAAAATTTTGAACCATGGTTGAAACAAATAAATGTAATAATTAAATTGATATGATACATACCTGCTATTTTTGAAATATATTAATATATTGATAGAAAGATTGTTTCAGTTAGTATGACTTCAGGTAGTTTCAGCATTTTAGGTATGTAATTGTGCACTTATTTTATAAATAACTTAGAAAGAAGCTTGAAACGCATAGGGGCTCTTTATGTGTGCTGTATAATTAAGGTTTGTATGTTATGGAGTCATTTTTATACAACAAATTTATTATTAGTTGAATAAAAGCAAGTTAATACCACATAATTCAATTAAAATATATTTTGCTCTGCAATTTAATGTTATATTTTTAAAACAACAAGTGTCATAGTCATAATGTTTAAGTATCATTATTATAAAAAAGTTATACTGCTATAAATTTAACATTGAAATAACTGTAATTATTGTTATACATAAATTAAGTAGGCATAATTTTACCTCGACAATATGTAAAACTTCAAACGAATCTTAACAATTTTATGCCATGTATAAAAATCAAATTTAAATCACACACTTTTATTTATAACTGACAGTATAAGACCAAATTTTTAAATATAACTTTACATGCTTACATTATATTCTTTACTTTTTATTAGTAATTACAATATGAACCAAAAAATATTAATTACTATCAATAAATACATAAAAACTAATCTATTTAAGTCCATGAAAATAACTATATAGTTAGCATATGCATAAACAACATTCTTGTTATTAGGATCAAATTTATTTGAGCTTTTTTTCATTGTTTTGGTTAATATCCCTGTTAGTCCTGACTGGTAAAACCACCTGAAGCGATGTCATCCAAATCTATATATGTATCATAACATAACTTATTCTTTTAAATAATTATCCTTCGTTTGGTCTGATGATAATATATTGTAGATTTATCTAAACTTCTTGCTGCAAAATGTTGAAAACTAAACTACACTAAACATTTTAGGGAATGATTACGTAGAGATTTCACTTACACTTAGCATCCTTTTTAAAAGATATGTATGGTAGTTTGCAAGTAAGGTCTTTGTCTTGTTCTAGATTAGATTTCTAGAGGTTGATTTCGGCCTGACCCACTGCGACCTTCTCAGATCTATTGTGGTCTTGTCTTGTTCTATAATGAAGTTTTATGTACCAGTAGGTTATACTACAAATAAGATTGTTAAAAATATTCACTGGAGCATAAATAAATTCAATCCACTACCTAACGTGTATTGAATATCGACGATGTTAGATCAAATGGCGGCCTTTTCGTGTAATACACATTTCTTCTTAAAGATATCGACGCCTATACATTGTTACTAAAATTTGTAGCATTTTGAGTGGCTTTTATAATTATTTAAAATATATTGGATAAATATTTTTATCCTGAAATTGACAGCTTCTCAACATTTGACATGACAAATTCAGACAAATGTGACATTTAAACAGTCCTACCACTACAGTTTTTCCAGAAATACCCCAAAAATCCGCCATTTTGGCGCCAATAACATTGAACAAACCAATTGCGGTACTTTATATATCTAGGGACTTTAATTTGACTGTTACAATTCGTGGGTCGGAGTGGTTTGAAAAATACCTCATTTGCCTCATTTAGCTGGGTCCCAATTTGTAACTTATGCTGAAAAAATCACTTTTTCATTAATGTCCACCTAATTTTTCGTGTAAGGGGTAGTTTTTCAATTTCACCTTAAAAACTTTATGATCATCGTTTAGCATTTTTCATGGGCTTTCCAAAAAGGCGCCACACGTGGGGTGTTGCCATTTAAGGTTTTCAAGTGAGTAGGGGTGCCGCCTAAGGGCCGGGTAAGTCGGGGTGGTTCAAAAAAAAACGTCATATGTATTCCCCTTCAATATTATAGAAACGGTATTTTTTATTTTTTTGATATCTTTTTTGGTTTAAAAATTATAGCAATTGTAAGTTTTTAGTGGCCTACCGTGTATAATGAATTATTTTATATGTAGGTCCTAAGACAGAGAGGTCTGCGAAGGCCTGGGGCTCAGCTGGCAATCGCCACCATGACTATATGGCCAGTCCGACCCTGCATTAATATTAGGTAAAATAATAATCATTTGACACTTACCTCATCCATCCTCTCCAATCGTACAGTTAAAATTTTGCCCCTGTTTTCTAAATTGTCTACATTCACCATGTTCCTCTAAAAAATATTAAACATTGTTTAGTAAATTTACAAATTACTTCAAAAAAGAGCATATACGTTTAATTATCTGATATTAATTGTTTGTTTTATATTTGTTTTTTTTTAAATTATAAACTTGACGAGGTAAATTGTGAAATAATTTGATTAAGAGATGACTAAATTTTAATAGAAAAATACCCATTATTTCATGAAAATTTGTTATACTTATACCACTTTAAAACAATTAAAATTTTAATAATATATCAAATCCTGAAAAAAGATAAAGAAATTTACACAAATAAAGAATATAAAAATATCAAGAAATTAATGTATAATTATTATTGTTATTAATATTAAATATATTAGGCTCTTGAGCACAATAGGTTCCCGCACACATTTACAGCGCTTTCAGATGGAGCGGAGCGCCCGCGAGTTCCATGAGTTTAAATGAACAATTTCACATGGGTCGCGTATGCTCCCTCTGGATGATTTCGGCTAACGGCTATCTTGAAAAAACAAGCAGCACAAAAACAGCGCGGACGGTCCGCGCGGACGGTCCGCGCGAACGCTCCGCTCCATCTGAAAGCGCTGTTAACAGTTTTTTAGGATTTTTTTGCAAGATTATCTTAAATTGGACATTTTTAAGCAAAAAAAATTGTGGGGATAAATATGTTTTTTCTTTAAAAAGCGGCAAAAAAACGTATTTTACGTGCAGGCCACGGACAATAAATATGTAAAATTTTCTACACGGATTCAGTAAAAACATTACATATTAGCACGATACTTTATTACCTTATACAGGGTGTCCCAGAAATAAGTGCAAATATTTTAAAGAGTGGTAGATGTCGATAAAAGAAACATATTTTCTCTTTATCGTTTTTCAAAGAAGTACAAAATAACGGAGTTATTTTACTTTGAAAATTTCCTAAATAAAATTATTTTTTGCTAACATTTTGAGAACCACTGGATCTTTTCTGCATTTTCTTTCTTGTAAATTTAATCTACTATCTCTGTTGCCATATTATCAAGAAATTATGTTTTTTAACTAAAAACTAAAAAAAATTCCAAAAAAATTTTCAAAAAATTCCGAATTTTCAAATTTTTCGCGAAAAAAGAGCGTGTTTCTGGGGTTGAACTATAGTACTGGTTAAAAAACTTGCACTTATTTCTGGAACACCCTGTATATACGTGGAATGATCTAAATTAAGCACAAAAATTTAATGAATCTTCTTTGTAAGCATAAAAATTAAGAAAATATATATACAGGGTTGTTCACCACATACGACACGGAGTATTGTAGCTAAACGATGAGATTTTTACAAATTGTAAGTTTTGGGTTCGATGAAGGACTATTAGAGGTACAATTTAAAAATAATTTTACAAGATACAGAGTGTCCCAAATAAGTAAAAAATATCAAAGTTGTATTTTTTTAAATTGAAC